GGGGGATGGATAAATAGAAATATGAGGGGGGGGAAGGGGGGTTGGAGTCTTGGAAATGACCAACTAATATTTGTAAATGCATGTTTTTGATTTATAATAATTATTTCCATTAAGCTTAAATATTAAAGAGCATCTAGTATTTTTATTAATATTAATAAGAACCCTCATATTTTTTTATATCAATGTATACAGAGTAAAAATATCAATATATTGATGGTAAAGATAGAATATCGAAACCTCACAATATTAATACTGGATAAACGGTGTGATATATAAATATGAAATAAATAAAAGAACTCTTATGTAGATAAATAGATAGATATATAGACAATTGACAAACAGAATTTCTGTCAAAAAAACTTTCATTGATATAATTATTTCAGGCTAAAGGGCTATGTTTTTTTTGCAAAGATAATGATATTTAATGGATAACAATTTAATACTTTTACGAGCTTCTCCTATAATTAGTTAATATCATAGTGTATTATAATTATTTCACTTTAATATTTCTTCTATTAATTCTATCCAAATAAATCAATGATATATTCTTTGGAGAATAAAAACAGTGGTAGCGGTTGAATCATGTCTTACACACTTGCAGTTTAAAATCAGAGAAATAAAAAATAATTTTTAAGCATAAATTTGTCATTTTTAATCGAAGGAAACACAAATATTTTATTATATTAAATTTTTGCTTTCAACCACTGGAAATCAAAATCAAGAAAAGAAGTAAAAGAATTACGCTTTTGGGATTTGACATTGAAACTCTTTCCGTATTGGCTTTCCCTGCAAAATGTGTGAAACCTTCTGTATTTCTGACAAATTAGAAATCTTGTCAGTTACGCATAATTTATGCACAGCAATTCACGGAATAAGAGTTGGAAAAAAATTCCTTGATTCATATTTTTCATATTTTTAATCAAGTACAAAGCACGAGATAATACAAATAACAAATCACAGTTTACTATGTAGTTTGGACCCGCCTAACCAGAGTTGGTTGTTTTGATTGGTTGGCCCATTATAAGCGAATAAGAATCGTAAATAAATAGATTGATGTACACTGTACAGTGTACATTTTTTTAACAAAACAATGATGATAAATTATGAATAAGGTAAGGAGAGGGGGTGAAAGAGTATAAGGGAAAGGGTGGGAAAGGGTGATACTTTACACATTGAAGAGATTTGTTTATTCAGAAAAATTTAAACTATGATTTAGTGTTTTTATGAAAATGTTTACTTTTTCAAGCATTTCTGACCCCCCCCCCTCTCCCTCCCTGTATATAACTGCATACGCCCCTGACTGTAAATCCTCTAAAAACCTCGTTGGTTGCTCATTAGACCTGGGAAGAATTGGAGGCCAGACACTTAGAATTAATATATATATATATATATATATATATATATATATACCTGCCAGACATAGATATTACGTGGAAAATGTATTTACATGTGTATCTGATTAGTATTGTAAGAAAGGTGCTCTTTCATTTGTATCATCAGTACAGGGTTACCTACAAATATGAGACGACTGTTTCCTTATAATTGATGATTAACTACAACTATAAACTTCTTTATTTCTTCTCCAAATCGTTGAATATTCTTTTTATAGACCATATTAAAGGCAGAAGACTTAATTTAATCTTAAAAGAGTTTCAAATCGTCTTTACAGTCTCATCCTTTGTTGGTAACCCTACACAGATTATCCGTTAAAAGAAGAAATTTGCTAAAATGGGTTTTTATGTTTTTGTTAATAACATAAACTTGTGAACTTTCTTATACAGGAAGTTTCATAGATATGTCACCTTGACACTTTAATTTCGTCACAGTATCTATAAAATATG